TTTCTACCACACATATTAAGATATTTTCTATGCTCAAGATTATCACTAATGCAGAAGTTGATGCAAATTCCAAATTTTTGCTACTACTTCATAGTCAATGGACTAATTTATCACTGCCAACAGTTTACTAAATAAGGTCAAAAGTCAGCAGCGTTAAGTTCCTCACTCTCCACCGTGCCTGTATTTCAATACACATCTTGAGCAACATTTGCTCTGACCACAAACATTTAACAGATTTGAAATGCTTTGCCCTGTTATTTGAAAGGCTGAATTAAAATATGTCTTCTAATAGGGAAAGAAGATGACTTCTGCCAAGGAACTGCCATCAAGTCTGACCACTGAGCAGAACCAATCTCCTCATCTGCCTCTCTGCACAAACCCTGGCAACCCGGTGTTCTCCTGTACGCTGGACCCCAAAACACTCAGGACCAACGGTTCTTTGACAAAGCCTCAGGTTTTACTGTTTAAAACAACTTCAAGTGAATATGGTGCTATCCCACCCATCTCACAGATGATACCCTGTATTTATCATCCCGTGGATCAAACCTTTTCAAAACACTTGCTGACTTGTGCATCCTTTCAAGACAGTTATTTAAACACTGCCATTGACAGAAGTAGGGTATACGACTACCCCAATTTCCAGCATACTCTATAAAAATACATCTCCATCTTTTTTTTCCCATAGACTTAGATGAGACACCTAGCTTTAAGAAAATAAATCTGTTATTTCAGTCATTCTGGGAATAACTGTCAATATCTGATTTATTTTGATTTTGCTGTGTTGTCATGGTTGAACCCCAGCTGGCAATGAAGCCCCACACTCACTCCCCCCATATATATATATATATAAAACCATAATGAAACACAACTCGTTCCGCTTTGGTGAAGAACAGAAAAACAAGAAGTTAACAGGAATTGACTATATGGAGCTACCAAAGTTGTCTGAAAACCAACTGTCTAGATTCAGTAAATACTTCCAAGCAAATATTTAATTTAGTTATGAATAACTTTAGATCAAGTACCAAAAGCATGTTTTAATATTCAGCCCAACAATATATCACAGAAAGCAAAAATATGACCACTTCGTATCAAAATGATATGAAATATATCTGATGGTATTTGTTATAACACTATGCTTTCCAAAATAGTAATTCATATATCCAACCTTTTATCAGTTCTGTAGGTGTTCTGAGTGAAACAGAAAAATGTCTA